GAGGGAGGTTTTGCCGAGCCGGACACTTAGGGTCCAAGGCGGGTTGGTTTCTCCTCGGCGTTGGGCCTGAGGAAACGTTTGTATATATATATATATATATATATATATTCTTCCCTCTTTTTTTTTTTTTTTTTTTTTTTTTTCAAACAACTTATCATGACGCCGAGGACTCAAAAATGATAGGAGGCCAAGAAAGCGAGTAACAATGGCTTGGAAGTTTCCTATTTGTTTACTTTGGAGACTTTCTTCCATTGATACTCCCTTCTTGGCAACCAAATGTAATGGACTACGCATATATTAACCACATTGCTTTACTATTTTTATTCGATGTGGGACATAAACTAAATTTTGTCAAAAAGGTCGGTGTAAGGAATGCATCTGGTATTGACAACCTTTAATAACAGTAGGCCTTCCTTACACCGTAATCAACTATTTAAATATTCCCATATATAACAAAATGTAACTCATTCTTTTTTGTCGATGTGGGACAGAGAGTTTTAACCGTAGGTCAAAACGCATGCTTTTTAATAACTTGCTTCCAACATTGCTTTGCCTAAAAGCGTAACATTGCATAATCACAGTGTAGTATGAAAATTTCTTTACGTAAAAACTGAAAATTTCTTTGCATAAAAATTGCTAATGCATAATGCGACGCAAAATTGCATAATCATAGAATGATGGTATGGCCCCCATTTTTATGGAAAGAAACAAATGAAATAGAAGCAAAATAAAGAAAAGATTGGCTGACTGCGGGCTTACGCAGCCTTATTTGTGAAGAATTCTTAATAAAATTGACAAACTTATTTAATGGAAATACCTTCTAAGGTGTATTGCATTCCAAGGACGCGCAATGGGATGTCCGTCAGCTTCGGCCAAACGATATGCTCCCTTCCCCACTACTTCGGTAACCCTTTAGGGTCCGGTCCAATTAGGTTCCAGTTTCTTTACGTGAGCTGTCTTTTACTTCAGAACCCAATCGCCTATCGCAAAGCTCCTGAATCTAACGCGTTTGTTATAATTGTTGCGCAGCTGCTGCTGATATGAAGCGAGCCTAATTTGCTGCAGCATCCCTTTTTTCATCCAGGAGATCGAGACTATGCTCGAGCTGCTGACTATTGCCTCCTTCAAGCAACAAGGATGTCCGAAGGGTTGGAACTGCCGCTTCGGTTGGGATCACAGCTTCGGATCCATAAGCCATGGCAAAGGGACTCTCCCCCGTGGGCCGCCGTGGTGTGGTTCGGTACCCCTAAAGCACCTGAGGGAGATTCTCGTACCATTTTGCTTTGAGCTTCTCCAGCTTCTTCTTTAAATAACTGAAAATGGTTCGATTAGTTATTTCAGCCTGTCCATTCCCTTGTGGATGACTGACTGTAGCTAACTTTTGTACAATTCCATTCTCAGCGAAGAAATTTCTTATACTTTTATTGTTGAGGTTCTTACTATTGTCCATCATAATGACTTTTGGGACCCCAAACCGGCAAATGATGTTGTTCCAAAGGAAACTTTTTACCTACTCATGGGTCACACTTGAGTAGGCCTCGGCTTCTACCCATTTAGTGAAATAATCTGTAGCCAGTAGCACGTACTCCTTTTGTTCCACAGTCTTGGGTAAAGGGCCCACCATATCAATCCCCCATTGTGCGAATGGCCATGGATTTGCCATTGCATGCAAATCTTCGGCAGGTTGATGTTTCATGGAACCGTGGCGTTGACATTTGTTGCATCTTCGAGTATACTCTTCTGCATTCCGGACCAAGTACGCGCCAGAAGTAGCCTTGAGTTAGAACTTTATGTGCTAGGGATTTACCCCCAGAATGGTTGCCACAATCTCCATCGTGGATTTGTTTCAACACCACAAGAGACTCAGTAGGGCTTAAACATTTCAGGTAAGGACCTGAGAATGACTTCCGGTATAACTGGTTGTTGATGATGGCATATTTAGCTGCGGTGAGTCGGAGCTTCCGTGCTTCGAGCTTTTAGTTTGGAAGAATTCCATGTTTGAGGTAGGCTTCCAATGGATCAATCCAGCATGGTTCTCGAGGAATAACTGGAATCACCATTACTTCTTGTTGAGGATGACGCTGCTGTGGCCAATTGAATCCCCGTGTAACATTCTCTACACCTTCTTTATATGCTTTCATTCTTTCCTCTTTGGGCTGGTACTGACCTGTCACTTGATTTATAACAAGCTGTGAGTCACTAAAAACTTTTAAACAACGTATCTGGAGACTGCTGGCCAATCGAAAACCAGCAAGTAACGCCTCGTACTCGGCCTCATTGTTCGTAGCAGGGAATTTTAAGCAAATAGACTGCTGCAATTTGGTGCCTTCGGGTGTTGACATAACCACCCCTACCCCTGCACTTGTTTGATTCGAGGAACCATCGACCCGAAGCTCCCACTGTGGTTTAGGGGGTTCCGGCTCTTCGAGAGTGTCTTCATATTCGAGAAGAAAGTTTATTACGGCTTGTCCCTTGTGCGACACCTTCGGCTCATAAGTTATGTCGAAGGAACTGAGCTCGATAGCCCATTTGGTAATTCTCTCAGATAGATCGGGCTTAGAGAGTATACCCCGTCTAGGATAATTGGTGAGTACCACAATGCTGTGAGATTCAAAATAATGCCGAAGTTTCCTCTTGGCATAGACCAAGGCTAAGATAATTTTCTCTGCTTTGCTATATCGTGTCTTCGCATCCGTCATTGTCTTACTTGTGTAGAAGACTGGATATTGCCTCTTTCCTTCCTTTCTAATCAATGTTGCACTTATCGCTATACTAGAAATTGCTAAGTACATAATAAGAACCTCCCCGGGTTTTGGAGCGGATAGAATTGGTGGTTCGGCCATGTAACTTTTCAACTGATTGAGGGCCTCCTGCTGCTGAGGTCCCCATATATCTTTATTCTTAGATCTTATAGTATCGAAGAATGGTTTGCACTTATCTGACAATCGGGATATAAACCGGCTGAGGGCTGCGATCCGACCTGTAAGAACTTGTACCTCCCTGCGATTTTTTGGTTCCTGATTCTGGATGAGGGCCTTAGCCTGAGCCGGACTTACCTCTATCCCTCTTTTATTTACTATGTGGCCGAGGAATTGACCTGATGATACCGCAAATGAGCACTTAGATGGATTCAGCTTCATGTTGTACTTCTTCAAGGTATCGAAAACTTCCTAAAGATGCTTTGGATGGTCTTCCTTCTTCACATTTTTGACCACCATGTCATCTATATATGCTTCAACTGTCTTTCCCAACAGATTATCAAAGACCTTGTTGACAAGACGTTGATAAGTAGCTCCAGCGTTTTTCAGTCCGAAGGGCATGACCCTGTAACAATAAGTCCCCTTTTATGTTATGAAAGCCGTTTTTTCTTCATCTTGAGGGTTCATAGGAATTTGATTGTATCCCGAGTATGCATCAAGGAATGTCAGCCTCTCGTAGCCGGTGGTAGCATCAACCATCTGATCTATTTTGGGCAGAGGGAAGCTATCTTTAGGGCAGGCTTTATTAAGATTGGTATAGTCTACACAAACCCTCCACTTTCCATTCTTCTTCTGTACGACCACCACGTTTGACAGCCACTGTGGATATTGCACTTCTCGAATGAAACGTGCTTGCAATAATTTGTTCACTTCTTCAGCTATAATGTGATTGCGTTCGGGGGCAAACCTTCGGTGTTTCTGCTTAACCGGTTTGAACTCCGGATCCACCTTCAAATTATGGCAGAAAACTAAAGAATCGATCCCTACCATGTCCGAGTGATCCCATGCAAAAGCATCTGCATTGCTCCGGATAACATCAATTAACGCCTTCTTTTCTTCGGACGTAGAGGAAGAGCCTAAATAAGTGACCTTCTGAGGGTCGCCGAGGATAACTTCCACGGCTTCAAGGGTTTCCACGGTGGGCTTCGCAATTTCCTCTTCCTCCTCTACCCAGAGATACTTGGGCAGAGGACTCTGTAATTGCTATTTGGGTATATTTTTGGAAGCCACACCTGATTGTTGCTGAGTAGACACCTTCTTTGCTTCAGCCTGTGTCAACATATAGCATTCCTTCACAGCGACTTGATCGCCTTATAGATTAATCACTTCATTTCCGTCCGGTGATAAACACCGCATTACCTGGTGAAGGGTGGACGAAACTCCTCTCATCCGGTATATCCAGCCTCTTCCCATGATGAGATTAGAAGAAGGATGAATCTCTGTTAAAACAAAGTTCTCCTTCAGAGTCCTCTTCGCCACAGTCACGGACAAGTCTATTACTCCCAGGGGATCTACCCTTGTGCCATCGAATCCCATCAACGGGCTGGAGGTAGGTCGAATAGATGATGACGGGATCTCTAGCTGCTCAAAGACCGTCTTTATGATAATGTTGGCGCTACTTCCTGGATCTATCAAAACCCTCTTGATCATACAATTGCCCACTAAAAGACTGATGACCAATGGATCCTCGTGGGGGAGTTGAACTCTAGATAGGTCGCCATCTCCAAATCCAATACTAATGCTACCATTGATTGAGGATATCTTCCTGAGCTTGTGGGCTACCCTCAATCTGGATCTGTATACCCCCTCAAACTCTTGATCATCTTTAGACCTGCCATGTATTGCATGAATGACTTTTACTTGCTGCGTACCTTCCACTTTGCCGGGATAGACCTCACGGGGCTTTGCGTACTCCTTTGTCATGAGGTAATCCGCCAACTCACCTCTGGAGATCATATTCTCCACCTGTCGCCTAAGGAATCTGTAATTATTGGTTGAATGCCCATAATCTCGATGATAAACGCAATGCTTGCTTTTGTCCCTTTGCTCCAGGGGTTGCTTTATTGGCTGTGGAGTTGTGAACTTCATCTTATTCTCTTGGAAGAGCCGAGCCAAGGTAGTTCGGAGAGGTGTAAATCCTTCCTCTACTCTTTACCTCTTCTCAGGTGCCTGGGTAATCGGCGTTAAGGAACGTTGGCTTTTCTGAATCTTTGAAGTTGAAATTCTTTCTCGAGGCTTGTTCTACACCGTTACGAGGGTGGCGTGCTGCGCTCGGTGGGCTATATTTTCTTCGAGCCGAATGTAGATCTGGGCCCTGGCATTGAGAGTCTGCATGTCGGGAGGAGAATATTTGACCAAGGAAGTGTGGAACTTTGTCCCCTGAATCATCGCAAGTTTAAATGTCTCTATAGCAGTCGTGGGATAACAATCTGCTATTTCTGAGGCTTCCATATTGAATCTTGATAAGAAATCCTGCAATGTTTCCTCCTTCTTTTGCCTTACGGTGAAAAGGCTGGCAATGCTCTTCTTTTGCATCTTATTTCCCCAATACTGTGCCAGGAACATAGTGCACAGAGTTACGTAATCCGGGATGGACTTATGCGGTCTATTCCTGAACCACTCTAGTGCTGCTCCTATCAAGCTGGTAGGAAAAACTCTGCACATCCAAGGGTCATTACGATCATCCAAAGCCATCTTTTGAGCGTAATGATCTAGGTGCCGAGAAGGATCCCCCGTTTCATCAAACTGGGTGAAAGAAGGCATGGTAAATTTCTTGGGCCTCTCAACCAGATACACATTGTCAGTGAAAGGAGTTTTGACCAAGGAATTTTTGTGTTCTCTAGCCATCTCAGCAAGCGTCTGAATCTTCAGGAGTCTTTTCTCGTCAAAGGCATCCTGGACACCTGCACCATCTGGGATTCCATTGGACCACACCGTGAGCTTATGGCTGGATTCGACTTGCTCATCCTGTGTGCGACGAGGGACGTTGTCTGAAGCCGCTGCCTCGGATCTTGCCCTCCATTGTTGCTGAACCTCATTCGACTGAGCCTCATTGGGTCATGCCCCAGTAGGTAGAGCCCCATTAGGTGGAAGTCTGGCAATCAGAGGAATATTCTGATTAGGGGGTGCTGCTGTGTCACCCACTGGTGGCGGTGGTACCAACTGAGCCATCGCCGTTTGCAGAGTGTTATTCTGCTGTTGAAGCAAGGCGATCTGAGCCACGCTTGCTTCGTTTGCCTGACGAAGTACGTCAAACTGGTGTAGAAACTCTTCACGCATCTTCTGCATCAATTCCGTCTGTTGATCCGTTGAAGATCCTTCGTTTGACATTCTAGATGGTAGTTGCAGGATTCACCTGTGAAACAAGAGTGGGAATATATTTGCACACGTTTCCCACAGACGGCGCCAAAGTGTAGGGATAAAATTTCGCTCAAACAATTACAATCGAGAGAAAATAATACAACACACTCAACGAACAATAAGAATAAACAAGAACAGTGTCTATTGAAGAATTGAATTGCTTGCCCTTTATTGGAGGTCTAGGCCTCTATTTTACACAAAAGTTGGTAGAATTATGGTAGGACTCGCGTTACTTGTCTTCCAATTCTTTCCATATATGACTTTCTTTATAAATAGAGTTATTTCCATTGTATGATATTTCCTATGTAGAATTTGCTTTATATAAAAACTTTCCATCCGAGTTGACTCCTTTGTTAAATAGGACTAAGCCATATTTAATTATACTTGGGCCGGATGCGGTTTGGTCTAAGTGACTTGACTAATGGATTAAAATTTCATCAGCGGTGATGTTAGGCTAATCAGTACTTTTGTTTGGCTTTGGAGGCCCAACATAAATAATAATGGGTTAAAGCACAACGTAACTTGGGCTTGATCTGGATGGGTTTATGAGATCTCCTAACTGAAAATTTGTATAATGGTGACGTGCCTCATTCGTATTGGAGGAAATTTCCCTCCACAGGGGTTTAGTCACTAAATATGGTTTGTGCGGCGAGGGTGAAAGAGCAGACCAACGCGTGTTATCGGTAAAGGGCATGTCCGTCACGTGCAAAAGTCATGCAGTCAAGAGAAGAAGTGGAAAAAGAGCGACAATTTCCTATATTCGCTGTCATTGGGAAACATGAAATTAATACCATGGCCTTCTGTGCTCCATCTCTCTCTCTCTCTTTCTCTCTCTCTCTCTAATAACCATATATATAATATTTTATACACATTTATATATATATATATATATATAAATATAAATATGGGAATGGGCAGATTTCATGTGTTTTATATAAGATATTAGAAGATGCTTGGCTGTAAGTAAATAAGATGATCTGTTATTAAAAAAGAATACATGAAGGTACACTCACTGATCAGTCATCAGTCTCACACACACAGTGAGAGGGAGAGAGTGAGTGCATAAAGCATAGAAATGCTACAAAAGCATGCATGAGTTATATATATATATATGTGGGCATTTCAGATCAGATCCAACTGTTGTCTGTTATCCATTAGAAAAGAGGGACTCCCTCAATGTCAAGTTTGGAGTTTTGATAGCGGCTTTGTTAGCGACTACAAATTAGTAAAACAACTAAAGCATGCACTGAGACTCAAAGCCTTATTGAAGAAGCTTGGATTTTTTTAGTGACATATATATAGGAGGTAACTTCTTCTTTCTCTTTTCCTTTTCATTACAAATCAATAATCAAAGTTTCATATTTCCATTACTTCCATATATTTATATCTGATTGTGTTATTACATACATTGTTCATTGTCAAATTGAACTGGCATTTCGAAATTTTTTAAATTTTTGTAAGAATCACTCTGATTCTTTATATGCATTGATAATGTGTTGCATGTACATGTATGTTATTTGTAATTAACCAATTTATCATCTCAAAAGCTTAAGTCGTATTTTCCTAATCTGCAAATCTATAAAGTGGATGTGACATAGTTTGTTCATGAATGCTGATCGCATAGGATTTTAAAAAACTCATCCCCTGTTTATTACAGCTAAACAATTAGTTTTATCTTACAATTTTAAAGATGTTACATAATTAATTAGGTGTTAAGTACAGGAATGTGGGGACGATAAAACCTAGGTACTAACCAATATCAAATCTCCAGATCCTTGGATTAATAATTTTCTACTCCATAAATGTTATCTTAGTGTTTGATTTTTATTTTTTTATTATTATTATTTTTTTTATAAATTGAGTGTGATTCTACTAGATTAAAAACTATTCACTGTTTTTCGTGCAACTTAAACTATTTTAGTTTATGAATTCAAAATTAGATAATATTTGGTTCCATATATATCAGTACATGAAATAGTAGATGCGATCACAATTGGAGAGAAATATTATTGGAGATGATTTATTTCGAAATATTCACTTTTCTAAACTAAAGAAAAGTTCTAGATTTTCACATTAAAGCAGCATGATAGAGAAGGTAAAAATTGCTTTACATCTTAATCAGGCACATGACATCAAGGGTATTCTTGTCATTAAGTTCCTTCATTTGCTGTCAAATTGTCAAAAATAGGGAAGTTCTGGTTTCTTTCTACTTCATTTCTGGTATATGCATTGACCACTCTAATATATATATATATATATATATATATGGAATTTATAGCACTCCAAATATTATGGACTAAAACTCTACTACTTCAAATTTTGAAAGTGATGACAATGAGAACCTTACTCCAAAGCTAGTATATGTTTCGAATACATATAGATTGAAAGATATATATATATACATATATATATATATATATATATGGTTGGAGAGAAATAAAAAGTGTTATGGTGTTTGATCTTTTGCAGGTTTCACTGATCATCATCATTAGGAGGAGATCAAATGGAGCAAAACCCATCTGGAGTTCAACATAATGATGGACCCCACAAAGCCTCATCAAGAAAGCACCACCATTGCCCAGTGGACGAAACCGGAGATTCTATCAAGTGTTCCGGCAAGTGTTGCCGATCATGCACCGCCGGGATGGTTGCTGACTGTGTGGCTATCTGTTGCTGTCCCTTCGCTGTTGTCAACTTTTTGGCTCTTGCATTCATCAAGGCTCCGTGGATGATGGGGAGGAGGTGTTTGGGTCTCGGGAAAAAGAAACGTCAGGGGATGGAAAGGAAGAGAAAATGTGAAGAGAGAAGTGATAGTGAGTGCGAGGAGGATAGATATGGAAATTGTAGGAAGGGAAGGGTAGAGGATGGAACATGGGAAATTTTAAGAGGGTTGGAAGTAGATGAAGAGCAAGAGGACAATTTTGAGGCAGATAGGGTTTGGTTGGAGTTGTATCAGTTGGGTCATTTGGGTTTTGGGAGGGTGTCCTTCACTGGAATTCAATCTCAAAGGTAAGGGCAATTAGGGAATGTTGTTGTTTATGAAGTTAATTAATCAGTCTTTTACACTTTTACATTATATATTACTCCCTTCTTTAGATTTCATGTGGTTAAATTTACCTTCTTTTTTTCTCTTGTTTAATTTATCTTCATTTTCTTTGTTTTTTATGGATTTTTTTGGTTAAAGTGCTGATAACTCATTCATTTGATTGAAATTTGAAGCCGACCCTTCCTGACAAAGTGTTTTTTTATGTAAAAAGTTCAGTGATTATACAATAAGTGACATTTGCAAGAGAGATATAGTAACCAAAGACTCAAAACATAATGTAGTTTGCAGAAGCTTTTTCTCAAATTAACAATGTGATAAGAATGATGGTATTGGCTGAGAATGCTGGCTTACAATACCCGTTAGCTTGTGAAGGGCTTATTTGTCCTTACATACGTGATATGATACGACTTACTTACGAGTAAATTGTTGGTGCAACGCGCTTCAATTGATACATTAAAAAAAAGAGAGAAATTATTGTTGTATAAGCAATATATAATACGTTCCCATGTGATGTGAATGCTGCCTAACCCATCTTACCATGTCCCACACCCAATCCACAAGTCAGCATCACCACCAACACCCAACATGGCTACTTGTCACTACTGTTAGCCATCCCCACCACAACTATATAGCCACAATTTGATCTTATTGCCAGATTATATAATACACACACATATATATAATAAATATGTAGCCTATGTAGCCCAAGCACGATCCATCTTTCTCAATCTCACCACTAGGTTTTTCCCTCTATCGTTAAAACAAGTGTCGTACCTTTCTCATCTGTCACTATTTGTAAAGAGACAAAAGCAGAGACACACTCAACACAGTGCAATCAGCTTATCCGATTTGCAGCCCTTATGGGATCTCGGCTGTAATGCATGCATTCTAAAAATTTACTTTCATTTGAAATTAGTTGGCATTTCAAATGCAATGGTAACTCAAAAGTTAAAAACACTTATTCCGCAAAACTGCAGAAGAAAATCAACCCTGCAATAACACAAGGCTGGCCGCCTCAGCACCCGGAGGTGGACGCTCTGCAAGGTTATAAAAAAACCAAAAGATTAATCAAACACAGCACAACCAGGTGATATTCAAATACAAAACATTTAGGCAAAAACCCAGTTGCCCCATTTCCAGAATAATGCTAATTTGGACTACTTCAATAAAATTCAGCATTAACAATCAAAGTGACACGGAATAATGGACACGGATAAGATTAATGTCTTAAAAATGGGAAAAGATGTGTAGAAAATTAGTAAAATTCTATGTTTTAAGATTCTGAAAACTGCAGAACTATGATATTGGTCGGATAGAACCTGTCAATAAAATTTGCACTTTTCTATTGTTCCCACTGAGCAATAATAAGAACTGAAGGGGGGAGATAGAGAGAGAGTTACTGATCAGTATAATAAAGAGAGCAATTCCAAATTGGCTACAAGTAGTATATTAATCAAATTAACTCTTCCTACATTCATAGACGTTCTAAATACAAAGCATCCACATCTAGCTCTTTGCAAAAAAGTAATTGTGAAACCTGTCAAACAAGAAGCTCTATGTCTTTAATAAAACCATTTAAGACGAAGCAGACTCCGCCATTGTGCTTACCTTTTCCAAGAGTCCTTTCATCTCAGCCTCCAAGTCCGATTTCATTTCAGGTGACATTTCGGACTTTTCAAGCATCGATGTCATCATCTCAAGTTTCTGCCTTATGAAGAGGAGTTCATCCACTGATGAATTTGAAGAAGAAAGATTCTTCAAGGTCTTGCTTCCCTCCTTGGGTGAAGCGGAAACTTTCCCATTAACTTTGCGAGTCTTGGAAGCAGATGAAGAATATTGGAGCTGGTAATTAACATTGGATGCGCTGAAGGGGCTATTGCCTACTGATACGCTGAAGGCTTGTTCCGCATCAGAACTCCTTAGAAAGACAACCCGAGCACTGTAAGAATTGAATAACACATCTGTTTCCACCTCATTTATAGCCCCAAACTTGCTGAATATTGTAATAAGATCATGCTTAGTTGGCAAAGAGAACTCAGGGGGAAACGTCACAATAAGGGCTACAGGTGAAGATGCATTACCACTAGCAGAAGACTGAAGTTTTGGCATATTCGACTTTGCATGTCCACTCTTCTCTTTTTTTGCCCGCAATTTATATTCTGGCGACTCAAGGTCAGTTTGATACAGGTCCTTGCCTAGGGACACTGGGTCAGAGTTCAAAGACTTCCTCTTCCTACCAGGTTTACGTTTGTGGTACATTTTGTAATTAGAGCCGGTTAAATAGATTGAACTTCTGAACACGGAGACAAATCCCCTGACCGTATCAAGAGTTTTGTTCTCCCTCAGATATAAAGGATTAAGAGCTGCCAACCTGACTTCATTAAGCACTTCATTTGCAGATGCATGGATTTTCACGGGGTCAATAATCTTCTGATCTTCTTTTGGTGTCTGAAGACTTGAGATAGCAGATGCCTTATCTCCAGTATCATGTTGTTTAGAGTGCTTCTTCTTAAACGTTTCACCACTACACTTCACAATTGGAGGTGAACCAATAAGCAGGCCGGCAGCTCTGGTCATTCGTTCCCCCATCCGAGCAACCTTGGCAACTTTCACAAAATCTGTTTCCATGTACTTAGGACTTGAATCTTTCCCCTTCCATTTTGGACTTGTGAAGGGAGGAGACAAGTATTTGCTCTTCTTCCTTTCCCTTGACGTAGAGACCTTTCTGTTACCTTCGTTGGCCTTACTAACATCATCTTCAATGCTAGAAAAACTGTTATTCTTCTTCTTCTTCCCTTCCCTTGATGCAGTGCCCTTGTTAGTTTCTACTTTTCCCTCTTTGTAACCATTGTCAACACTCATAGCCTTGTTCTCAGCGGATGAAGGAGATCCTAAAATCTCATCCTTCTTCCTCCTCCCTCTCTTCCTAGTTGATGGAGAAACCAAATCACTAGCACCCTGACTGTCAGCTTTATCAATGCTCTTCATCTTTTTCTTCCCAGACGTGGATGCCAATTTGCCAGAAAGTGTTACTTCGACTGTACCCCCATTTGGACTTTGGGGGGGCTCAACATCCATGTCCTCTCCCATAAGTTCAGCCACACTTTTCTGTTTCCTTCTTTGATACAGCTTGTCCGGAGAGATCACTGGGCACTTCTGCAACTGTGATCGAGTGGTTGTGTCAAATCCAACACCTACTGCCACTGGTGAAGAAAGCCAGTCTTCTTCATATGAACCTTCGATTGGGACCTCCACCTGATCAATGACATCAGTTATGTCCACTAACCCGCTTCTCTTCTTGTCTTCTAGGCCTTCAATTTGCTGCGGTTCCCGGAACATAGCTAATTGATAGCCCCCTTTTGCACGACAGAAAGCTGACAGCCAACTCTTCAACACAGTGAGCTCAAGCATACTGCTAATAGAAACCACCCGCGCAATCTCTCTCAAAGTTGCAAGTATTTCTGTCGATTCTTGCTGAGTAATTGCAAGTTCTCGAATCCCTCCTTCAGGCACAAGGACACCTTCCTTAATTCCAGCATTCATTGCCAAAGGTCTAGCGAGCCCAATCCGATTATCTTCAGGTATACAAAGGCAAGTCATCTGCAACTCAACAAGTCTACCAATCTCACCCAGAGCATTCTGTACAGCATTAACAAAGCTCTTAGCACTACTTTGCTTTGACTTTTCTTCAAAATTCTCCACAAAATGTTGCAATTGAGATGGAGAACACCAAGAAAAAGAGCCGTCACCGAAGTATGCCACGAGGAAGCGGTCCCTCTCCTTATACATCGTTATTGCTTGCTCAGATGCATCTGAAACATCATATACCTGTCCTGGCCACCAAGGATGACTCCTAATCTTACCCCACACAAAGTCACCAACAGAATACTCATATTCTGGACCATCCACATCCCTGTTATCCTCACCAACAGCTTCTATATCCTCCCCATTCTCTTCTGCAGTACCATTTTTTCCCATTTCTTTCTTTCCCCCATATTCAGCCAAAGAAACTTTCTGGACTTCATGACCATCTTTCTTCTCCTCACTCACATCCAAACAACCATGAACTTCAACAACAAGTGAAATACCATTCTCATCAAACAGCCCCTCCTTACGAGACGACCCATCCTCAATCAACACAGTTGAATTAACTCCAGAACCAATCTTCTCACCGCCATTTTCCCCATTATTCTCAACTCCAAAAACAGAGTCCAAATCTTTTACAGTCTCATTTCCACCACCATGGTCAACAGCCCCATCTTGTTTTCCATTTTCTGAGGAAGATAAACCCCCTCCTACTTCAGCAAACCCACCCCAAACACCTCTATTATTTGGGTTCCCAAAATTCGTCACCCCCAAAATTTCGGTCTCAGCAACTTGATTTGAAACAAGTACAAGACGATCGTTGTCGGTAGCACAAACCCTTACCCCATTTTCTTGAGCTCCAACAGTTGAATCTTGATGTTCGGACCTTGAACCGGGCATTAGGGTTTGAGATTTAGGTGGTTCGGATGAGAGAGAAGCATCATCCTCAGCTAGTGTTTTGGTTGCCATCGTTTCAAACAACCCTTTTTCGGCAGACACTAGTAAAAATTTCAACGCAAATTTCCCAACTACTTCAAGATTTCATAACTGTAACAGAAATAGTATATAAAAACAAAGGAAAGTAAGTACACGTCAAACAACACCTTCTAGGGTTTTTGCCTATCCTCCTGTTCGTGTAAGAGATTGAAACTATAATAAAAGAACAATTAACAACAACAAAAAATAAAATTAATTCTTAAAAAAAAAAAGCAACAGAGAGAAAACAAATCATACATATCTATATACATAAATCAAAATGAAAAACATAAAATAGAAGGAATACCTGAAGAACAATATTCTCCACTATATAATACACCATTTTCTGTAAACAGTTCTTGTGTGTATGATCTTTAGAGAGAGAGAGAGAGAGAGAGAGAGAGAGAGAGTAGTAGTTTAGTACCGAATTTGGCTGTGCGAGATTCGGAAATTTGAAAAAAAAAATTACTACAGTAGGACGGAGATTAACAGTCGGTGACCACCTGTTGGTAATTTAATTGTCCGTGATACTGCTTGTCAAATCGGTCTCCCGATACGGCTATAGTGTGGACAAATGACATACTCGCTTCATTTAATTGCCACGTGTGCGTGTTGGCTTTTTAGTGTTGTCCAGCGCGACTGTGAATTTACTGGGCAAGACCTGCGACTTGTGAAGACCGCTGATTTGAGATATTTATTGTTGATACAGAAATCGAAGCGGATAATTCCATAATAAATAAATTAATAATAATACAATTTGCCGAAAAGAAACGGATACGTCATGGTGGTCCACAGCTGTCCTGCACTTGCTCAACCATATACCACCATCCTGCTTTTTGTACCCTGTTAGTAAAAAAAATACCCCCACAAACATTTACCGTGTAAATTTTACTCTCTTTGGTTGTAGAAAGGAAGTGAGGGAATTTTTTTTTTTTTTTTTGATAGTATTTCATTTTTATTTCAGTTAATTTTTTAACTTAATGAAGTCATTTTGGGTTGAGGGAAAATTCTTAGAAGTGCAAAATGATTTGCAATTTGTAAAGCGAAGTCCAATAAACTTTGTGTGTTTAGCTACCGCTTATTACCAACCAAACAAGCCTTTTACAGGTTTGTGTATATAAGGCGTAAACACGTGTCCAAGGATACCCTTCCAGCGATAGAGACATAATTTTGAAAGATTATGCAAGAAATTTCAATTAAGTTAATATATCCATTACCTTTAATTCATGTTGGTTGTCGCTTAATCTTCAAAAGCTTAACGGTTGCATTTTACTGTAAGACTTTATTATATATGTTATCAACCAATTATATCATGTAATGTAACATAAGTTAAAGTATTACAGTATTATATAGAAATATTTAATAAGTTAATGATACGTATCATTGCTTCAAACAGACGGTGAGAATTAAGTTTTTTTTACTCTCAACCCATCACCATTGCCGATAAAATAAAATAAAATTATTAAAAGAGTTTCATGCCATTCTTCTAATTGTTGAACCCCAACCCAACATCTTGACCAAAAAATGAACTGAAATAGGTAATACTCTCATAATTCTCAAGTTTAGTGTAAAAAAAAAAAAAAAAACTTGCATAGTTAATTTTCAAAAGAGAGGTGCTCCAATTGTCTAACTTTATCACAACGAAAGAGAAGGAGAGAGTATTGTTCATCATCTCATACTCCACTATCTTTTAGTTGATTTCTTAACATCGTAATTATGGACCTTTTCTTTTGAAAATGGTCATCTATATTTAAAGAAAAAGATTAAAGGTTCAACTCCATACGAACAAAAAAGAATTTGAGTTATTTAAAAGGAGAATTCTATTAGACCAATCATGGTTTATGGTATCGATTGTTAGATGGGTTGGAAACAACTTGAGTGAGTATGCCAAAAATGCAAATGTTGAGATGGATGTACAGTAAAGCTAAAATTTGTGAGGTAAGTATAATTATTTCAAAATAAATTTGTGAATGATTTCTCAACTTTCTTGAGTTATTTGTGAAGGATATAGTATGTTATAGTCCATGCAATACTACAAAGAACATTATCAATAAATTATCCTTTGTACACACCCTTCAGTTCGGACAGGTTTGAAAGTATTTTAAAACCAAATCATTCCGAACTGATTCACAAAAATTAGAACCAAATAGGACCGTGAGGACCAATCGAACCAAACTGAACTCTTAGGAACATGCGAAGATAATTGAGTCCAAAAACTATTATTACCTGCTTTCAAACCAAATGTCACACAAGCTTAACCCTAACTCCATAATATATTAGGAAGGCAACAAATTGTTGGGAAACGTGCAAGTTTTAAAAACTTTTCGAGGGATTTTGATTCATAAATCTTGATTCATCACATAGAGACAAGTTTTATATAAAAATAAAAATATGATGTATCATTCAATTAATGGATTGAATACTTACATCAAAGGTCTGAGTAAACCTTTAAATCTTTCCTCTAAAGTGAATGTTCTCACTTATTGTAGATCCCTTAACAAGATGCCTTCTCCTTGGATCTCCATCTTCTTGGTAATTGTTTTGCCTTTAGGAATCACTCATAAGCCTCCATGAATGACCTTGGAAAACTAGGCTTGTGGGAGAGCCTCCATTAGATGAGAACACTAACCCTAATTTTCTAGAGAGAGAAAATTTATTCCTTTTCCCTTCTCATAAAAATCACCCCCAAAATATACATAGACCATGTATATATATAGGTAACATAAAGATAAGGAAAAGGAAACTATAAATCCTTCTCAATCTCTAATTCACATATCTCAAATCTAATATGATTCCAATATCAAGTTGGGCTATGAGTGAGAATGTTTTGGGCTTATTATTTTTATTGGCTACAATGAATTAATAATTGGCCCGATCCATGGACCCAATTAAATTAATTCATAAATTAATTTCTACTCCACTAAAAGAAATTAATTGAACTCCAATTAAATAATAAATAACCTCTAAGTCAATATTGCACTTTGACCCCTCTATGCATAATTAGTTATTGGATAAATAATGCCATCAATCCGACTACTTAATTAATATATTTATTTTGGTACCTTTGATTATTTCTGCCTTGATCACAATAAAACATTTGTTTGACAAAAAATAATAATTTAAATAAATAAATATATAATAAATCATTTTGTCTAAAAACATACGAAGGCCTTCAAATTTACTTTGTGATCAACCATAATCAATACAAAATAAATACAAATAGCAATGATGCAAATATTGAAAATATAACCCTCTAATTATTAATTACATAATTACCCAAAGTGTCGGTATAAGGATTCCGAAGAATCCGCCGAACAAATCAAAGTAATTATTAATTAATAAAAGAGTCTATAATTTTCTCATGCTTAAGAGTCAAATGCCATGACGGTGATAGGGAGCAATTGCATACGACGGCTCTCGCAATATATCTCAACCTAACGCGGATCCAGTTCAAATCTTAATTAATTATGAGTCCATCCATAATTACCGACTATGAACCATTTATGATTACTATTTATATATCTTGTATTGATTGCCATCACGTACATATATATAAATATCTCTTGTAATCAAATGGACACTATCAATTCTATAATGAATCGAAATATAATACATTGAATTCACCAATTGTATAAAACATAAATATTTCAGAAACATCAGGAACATATATCACTTTAATCCAAACAAGAATTTGCTATGCTAGGGCATATAAATCCCAACAGCTCCCACTTGCCCTCATAGCCAATTCAAATTGCACCTAACTCCAATGTTATCCAGATGACGATCAAAACTATTGATCAATGACACCTTTGATAATGAATCAACAAAGTTATATTCCAATGCAATGTTCTAGCTACAAGTACATTTTCTTGCCAGACAATATCATGTAGAACATGATACTTCCTCTCAGTGTATCTTGTTTCTCTATAGAACCTTGGGTCATTGGTTTGAACTACTTCTGCACTATTGTCGCAACATAGTTCAATAGGTAGGCTAGTATACTCCACAACCTCTAAATCAGTGAGATCAAACCAATAGGCTTCCTTTGCCGCCTTTAAGGCTGCAATGTATTCCACCTGCAGGTTTGAGTCAGCAGTTGAAATCTGCTTAACAATCTACCAACTGATTTCCCTTCCATTAAGTGAACATATACTAAGTCATGAACCTCATAGTATCTACTTCTGATTGAAAATCAGAACTAGCATACCTGACTAGAACCATATCATCACATCCATAAATGAGTATGATATCATTGATTCTCCTTAGGTACTTTATGATATTTTTCACAACAGACCAGTTATTAAGTCCAGGATTGGACTGATATCATCCGACTATCCCTACAATGTAGCGGATGTCCTGTTTGGTATAAACTATAGCATATATGAGACTCTCATATGCCGAAGCATATTGTTCCAGTCTCATTTGCTCAATCTCCTTTGATAGTCTTGAAAAACTACTTACTAGAGAGAGCAATCCATATCAATAAAGTAAGAACTCATTCTTTGAGTTATGCATACCAAACCTGGTCAAAATTTTATCAATGTAGGATTATTAAGATAAGCCTATTTTCCTTTTAACCTAATCTTGCAAAAGCTTGATCCTAGGAATATAGCTTATATCTTGAAAATCCTTCATTTAAAAGTAATTGAACAACTACCTTTTTATTGATGACAAAACTTCCACGTCATTATAAATGAGTAGGCTGTCATCAATATATAGAATTAAGAAAAATAATGACATTCTCTTGTACACTCATGATTTATTCGCTAAGAAATCTTCTGGTATCTTTTTGTAGATTAACTTGCCTTCCATAGGTATCACCTTACTAGAAAGTTCTACAAGATCCTAGAATTTATTAGAATACATAGATTCCAACTCTGATTTCATAGTAACTCGCCAAAACAATCTGTATCCATATCGGTTCACGCTTCCGTGTAGCTTACTGGGTCCAACTCATGTTTAACATGGATGTCCATAATGGTTTCACCTAAAAACATGATTCTGTTGGTTGGATGATAATCCTCCCACTACATTAATGTACCGATGCAAGAATCTGTGTAGTAGATGATGCTAACGCATCAATAGGGAATTCATATATTATTCTCAATCTCTATAATAAGTGTGTTCACATGTGGTACATCTGGTACTCATACCAAATTCTCTAACATTATGCTACTAGGTAAGTGATTCATAATATGATTCTCCTATAGATAAACAGTGAGTGTAAACAATCAACTTTTGTCTTTGAGATCATAAAATAATCCATCCTAGTGACTTTTGAGTAGCTATCAAATCTAGCATGCCTATAATCTGCTTCCAACTTACTTGTCTATATCAAGCGCACATATGCAAGACTACCCCATATGTGCATATGATTCAAACTAATATTTAGTCAAAAACACAGCTCAAACAGTATCCTTGAGACAGACTAAGATGGAATGCAGTTCATAAT